GGCGTGCTGTCCAGAAACATGGAGGACTTTCCAGCGTTTCAGGCCTTCGCCGTGCTGATTGCTATCCTGAGCTGTGGCTGCATGCTTTATACAGGCTTCTACAGCGAGAGCCGCTATGATAACAAAGGATCTGAGTCAGATCTTCCTGTAGACCATCAGTCATCAGTTTCCTTCACTACGTTGAGGATGTTGATGTGGCAGATCCTGACCAACAGGGACTTTCAGATTTTTGTACTCATGAACTTCTTCCAGGTTTTTGTTTTGACCTTCTTTCATAGTTTCACCATGATATTTGTTGAGCACCTGATTCCTCCAGATGTGCTTCCATCTCTTGCCAAGAGCATCATGTATGGAGCAGGATTCATCTGTCCACAGGTACCATTCTACAGGGGATCCATTTATTTTTCCATGAAAGCATAGATTGGAAATGTATCCCAGGTGCATCATTGACAGACAAGCGGTTTAGTCATTTTTTATTTGTCCTTTGAGCCTCCTGATACCTCCAAAGATAAATGCATTCCAGGAAGTTCAATTCAATCCAATTTTATTTGTACAGTGCAGTTTACAACATATGTAATCTCACAGCGCTTAACATAGTAAGGTATAGACCTGACACGTTTACACGGAGACCCCAACAATCCAAAGTTGCCTTTGGACTTCCTCTGAGCAAGTGGTTGGCAACAGTGTGAAGGAACCAAGAGATCATTTCCACCACACCATTGTTTATCTTCAGGGTGTGAAGTCAGTTGTATTTATTTAGTGCTAATGCACAATGTGTCACGTCATAGCACTTAACATCGTGACGTGAAGACCTAATGAATGGACAACAGAGAAACCAACACTCCAAAGTTTCCTTTGGACTCGCTTTGACCGAGCAGCCGGCGCAAGTGGGACCAAAAAAATAAAAGAAAGTTAAAAGGAAACAATTAAGAGTTTTACATGTTAGAAGCAGGATTTTAAATTCTATCCTGGATTTTACAGGGAGCCAATGAAGAGAAGCTGATACAGGAGAAATATGATCTGGTACTGGTTCCTGTCAGAACCCTGGCTGCAGCATTTTGGATCAGCTGGAGGTTTTTAAGAGATTTATTGGGACATCCTGATAACAAGGAACTACAGTAGTCCAGTCCAGAAGTTCTACATGATGGACTAGTTTCTCAGCATCACTCTGAGACAGGATGCTCCTGGTTTTTACAATATTATGTAGATGAAAAAAGGCCGCCCTACAGATATGTGTATCGAACGACATGTCCTGGTCAAAAATAACTCCAAGGTTGATCACAGTAAAACCTGAGGCCAAGGCGATGCCATCTAGAGCAGCTATCTGGTTAGAGGGTGTTTCTGAGGTGTTTAGGGCCAAATACAACACCCTCAGTTTTGTGTAAATTTAAATCAAGTCTGTTCTTGGGAGCTCTTGACTTAGTACTGTCCAGTCTAACACCCTGCCTCCATCCCAGCTGTTAGTGTTGAGCTGTCAGAGTCTGCTGCATGGTCTTGGCTACTACAGGATCCTCCTGTTCACCTTCTACATGGAGGCTGGAATGGCAGCTGTCATGCTCGCACTTGGCCCTCAGCACTACTACATCCTGGCAACTTTCCTCACCGTCAACATGTAAGAAGTTTCTGATTTGGTTTTTGATTGTCCTCAATTTCTTGGTTTTGAATTTACAGAGTTTTTTTTTTGAAACAATGACGTCACTCTGCCTAAATTGAACCTTAAACTCTCCCTTGTCTTTTTTTACAGGGTGGTACTGCATGCAGCCACCAGCTTTTATAATTTGCCTTTGGCGGACATTATTGACAAAGACCTGCAGAAGTACAAGCGCAGGTAAACACAAGTAGAAGTGTCACTAGAGGTAATTAGGCAGTAATTAGGCATAGCGGTGCTTTAGGATGAGCCCTAATCTGCTCACATTTTAAGATTAAGCATATTTAGTACTATCTCTGTTGGGCTATTTCCATCTAAATGAAAATGGTGCACTGGCAGGCCACCACCACCGTCAGCAGAGCTGTGCAGCTGCAGGTAGCAGAACTAAAAATATGATGAATACCAACACGTCCACCAACTCCATCATCTCTCAGATACAAATACAAACAACGTCACTGCCTCCATTTAGTGCTTTTACTCAATAAAACAGGAGAAAAGCTGATAATTGAACTTCTGCAACCAAGTGTTCAAACATACAATGACACCAGTTTGTCATTTGATGATATTTTTTTACAAAATTCTAATCAAACTAATGAATGTTGTTTCCCTGTAATACCCTGTCATGTGTTCGCCTCCTCCACAGCTCCCCTCTCTCCTCCATGGTGTTTGGAACAAATGCTTTGTTCACCAAACCGGCTCAGTCTCTGGCTCCCATGCTCACGCTGAAAATCCTCAACAGGTTCGGCTATGAGCAGCTAAAGGATGCAGGAAAGGATTCAGATCCAAGGTACAGATGTGCATTTATTTCTTCATGATAAATAAAAAGTCTATGTGAAGATGAGGATTAGGTCGGAGCTCCCTGCTGGAGACACTTTCCCTCATTCTGCTGCTCCGATGCTGCACGATGTCGTATGTGTCATTCGTCTTTTTATTGCTAATGTTGGTAGATGTGCATTTATTTTGACGCACTTAATGCAACCAAGCAGCGACTCTCTCGATTTATTATTATGAGCAGATCAGGTGCTGAAGACGACCCCCTTTATCTTAATGTTTAACACAGCGAACATGAGCACTCTATACTTTCTATATCTCAGTTTTAAAACCTGCCACTAATATTCAGCTTAATGATAACACTCCACACAGCCGTTAGTTTCCATATGTGACGCTGTAGCATCACACCCCATTTTATTATTTTTGTGTTTTTCGTGGTGACATTTGCTGTAAGAAACACGTCAGACGATGGTGTGGTTGTGAATAAATGCAGACGTGCAGCCTGTTTGTGTCCGTTTGCTTCCAGTGCCTTGGCCAGCCTCCACAGCGTCATGTTCTACCTGGTCTGTCTGGTGCCCATGTGTGTCGCCGCTCTGCAGGTCCTGGCTTGGAGGCCGTTTTCCATCCGCAACAGTCACACAGTCGACGCCAAGTACACCGACAG